GCTGCTGAATAGTGTAGAACAATAATAGAGTGGCTAGTGCTTTTGGATGATCCCTTCTCATTCTGCTACTTCCTTGCTTTAACTTTGACCAGTTTGTCCCCTGACCTTTAGTGTCCTCATCGCTAAGCTGGGGGTGGGTAATAACTATAGGGTTGTTGAAGATTAGCTGAAATAATGCATGGAACATGCTTAGGATCATGCCTGGCACATAGGAAACAGTAAGCTGTGGTGGTAGCAGCATGGTAATATTAGAGAATCAGAGCGTGGTTTGTTCAGAGGGCTACAAATAGTTCTGTACGGCTGGATCTTAGGGTGCAAGACTGCAGGAGGGGAGGGTGGGTGGCAAAAAAAGATGCTTGGCAGGCCGGCAGGGCTCCAGATCATGGAGGTATAGGAGTGCAAGGCAATTAATCATGGGGTATCATAGCAGGACCAGGACATTTCTGTGGTAACATGGTAAGATATATCATGAAGAGTTCTGGGAAAACCTGGGTCCATATTGGAAAATTGGCCCCGAATATGGCATTCTCAGCATCATTACATGTACTGAATTAGGAATGAGTATGAATAGGACAGAAATAGGGTTTTTCAGTTCCTTTAGCCAACTAGTTAAAAATATCAAGCATCTTGAAGAGTAATGGAAGAAATAAGCAGTCTCAAGGAAGTCCCCGGAGTCTCTGGAAATGGTTAGGGTCTCAGGGGTTCACAGGCTAAATGACAATATTAAGTAAGAGTCGCTTGGCCATTTAGATTTAGAGGACACACTTGAATTTATTTTTTGATCTGCAGAGAAATAGAAAATGCTTCCATCTGCACTGGCTTCACTGGCCCTTAAAATAACTTATGTATATTTGTTGGTATGTTATATAACTTGTCACAACATTAGTCACCACTTCTTCCATAAGGCAACATGGAAACGACCAAGGATGAGCATGACTATAGCTTATAATTATAGTCCAGTTTGTTCTTAGTGTTTTTGTCAGCTTTTTGCCTTTCTTTTTCTTTTTTAAAAGAGATTTTCATCATCTTTGGCTCCATGTAATAAAACTCTGGCAGCTATTTGAACTGAGTAAGAAGCTTATGCAGTTTTGCTATTATTACTCATTAGAGTGAGGCAGTAACTGTGGATAGCAATAGAGGCAAAGGAGTACGCTTCATTGCTCCTACAATGCCTCTGTCTTTGAAATCTATCTTTTATTGTAAAGGCACTGTTGAAAAGATCAATTATTGAGGCATATCCTATGTTTATTTTATGTCGTATGTACTAAATTACTCGGAAGAAAAATTTCATTTCACTGGATCGTTGGTTCTTAAAGTGTGATCACCAGTCCAGCAGCAACAGTATTCCCTGGGTTAGAAATGCTCATTCTTGGGCCCTACCCCAGAAACTCTGGAGGTGGGGTTGGAAGTCTGTCTTTTAACATGTTAAAACTTGAGAATCACGGGAGGGTACAATCACTCCTATCATTTCTTGAAATCTTTTTGGCCCCAAGAAGGCTAGTCTGTACGTTCTTTATCCCTTCATCTCAGTATTGATCTGATTCAGGCTGTGTGCCAGGCACTGTTCAGATACCTGGAAAACACCACTGCCTGTGATAACACAGTCCCTGCTCTCCTGCAGCCTACATTTAGAGGAGGAAGACGGACCCCTGTGGGAGGGGGGATATGGAAAATGAAAAGTAGATGGGCTTTCTGAGGAGGTCAAGTATAAGCTGAGTTTTGAACGACACGGAAGGGGCCACCTACATGAAGATCAATATAAAGGGCTTTGAGATAGCAGTGAGTTTGGGGGGTGTTTGAGGAGCAGAAAGAAGGCCAGCGTGGCTGGAATGCAGTGGGCAAGGGGAGAGAGGCATTGACCAGATCATGTAGGACCTTATAAGGACTTTTGTTTTAGATCCTGTTTACTTTTTAAATTGTGGTTAAATACACATACTGTGAAACTTACCATCTTTACCATTTTAAATGTATAATTTAGTGGTAGTAAATACATTCATATTGTCGTGCAACCATCACCATCTATTTCCAGGACTAAGACTTTGACTTTGAGTGCTATGGGAAGCTTTTGGGAAGTTTTGAGTAGAGGTTGGATATAGCCTGACCTTTAGAATAAAGGGATTACTGGCCACTAAATCGAAATCTGATTATATGAGGGTAAGGGCGGAAGCAGGGAGAGCAGTCAGGAGAGTACTGTGGTGATCGCAGTGAGGGGATGGTGACCTGTCAGGGATGGTAGGGTTGGGGAGGCTGAGGCACATCGAGATGCTGGATATATTCTGCTGATCAAGTCAACACAATTTGCTGATGGGTTGATTGTGGCATGTAAACGATTATGGCATATGAAACAGAGGGGTCAAGGATGACACCAAGTTGTTTGGTCTGAATAACTGGTGGATTTCAGGAGATGCAGGTTTGAGGAAGCAAAGCACCACTTGTTAAATTAGAAATGCTTCATAGATGTCCACGTGGCGATGCTGAGTAGGCAGTTGGATAAGGGAATCTGGAGGCCTGGAAGAAGTCAGGTTGGAGACGGGACTTTGAGGATTGCCAGCATTTGCATGATAATTAAAGCCACAAGACTGAAGGAGATTTAAGTAATGTGTGCAGACAGGAGCGGTCCAGGACTAAGTGTGAGGGTAGGAGAGCTTACCTGAGAAGAAATTAGCAAAGGAGCCGCCAGTGAGGTCGGAAGAGTCCTAATGGCCAGTGATGTCCTGGAAGCCAAGTGAAGAAAGTGTACAGGAAGAAGGGCAAATCGGTCACCTGTGTCAAACACTGTGGAGAGGTTGAGGGAGACAGGCACTGAGAATTGACCATTTTAGCAATGTGGATGGAGGTCGCTGGTGGTCGTGACAAGTCGTTTCAGAGGTGTGGTGGGCTCAGGAGCCTGGTTGAAGTATTGGGTTGTCAGAAAAGTCATGACGTATTTTTTCTGTTTTTCGTTGCAAAAATGCATCATGACTTTTCCGACAACTGACTATATTAAAGAGAGAAAGGAGAAGGAGCTAAGAAAATGAGTATAGACAATGCTAGGATGTTCTTCACATAGAGAGATGGCAGCTCTGCACACATCACCTTAACTCAGTGGCCCTGGTCAATGTGCCGGAGCTCCCGGGCTTAGAAATTTGGAATGTAACGCCTTTGAGTGCTCACGTTTGTTATTTCAGTTTTTTAAATGGGGAAAAATAAACTTCAAAATGGAAATTTGGGTAAAAAAAAAAACGTGTGGAAGTTCAGAAGAACCTTGATGGAGTCCTAGGGTCCTGTAAACACGTTTTGAAAGCCAGTATCTTAATCCAGAGGACTGAAATTCTGAGGTTGCAAACTAGACTTGAGAATGATTTATTCAGGTTTTAGAGGGACGCTCCCTGGAATGTGTGGTGGCCGAAGGATGCTGACTTTCTGTGTCTTTTTGTACCTTCTTGTAGAGAAGAAAGAACACAGATTTTTTTTTTTGAGACTCTTGAAACTTCAGGTTATGTTGTTTTATTTAATTTTTTGTAAGTAAGGTACTCTGATTTAGTCTAATTTTAAAATTCTATTTGATAAGGTGTATTTAAATACCTTGATTCTTAGATCAGCCAGCTCTTTTCAGCCGTAGGAACTTATTTAAACCAAAAGCCTAAGTGTCTCTTCAGTGAAGAAATGATGATCCTTCCTAAGAGAAATAAATAGATTCCTGATTGTCAAAAAACACATTTTTCTTTCTACTCCTAAGGAAGTAGAGGGAGTATTACCGTATTTTATTGAATCTAAGATGTCATTATTTATAAGATGCACTATTATATGTATTGTCAAGAAAGAAAAAGATGCTGCCATTTAGAGTTGTATGATGCGGCAGATTATAAGAAATGTGAAAATGTGGGGAAAGAAGTTCATCTTTGAAACAGTGAAACACAGAATTTGAGTGCCGGGAGGATTGAATTCTGGTTCTGGCTGTTTCTAAGTGACCAACAAGTCACTTGGAAGCTCTGCCTCAAGTCCCTCACCTGTATGGTGATGTAATGCCTGATGCACTGACCCCCTGGGATTAGAATGAGGATGAAATGAGATAAATGAGATAATTATTTTGAAAACTGGCATCTACTAGGTAAATTCAGGTATTTATTTAATTAAAATTAAACCTTGGATTTCATTAGGCAACTCAGAAAGTTTCCTCTCTGAGCTTTGTTGTCAGGCTTAAAATGCAATTCAGTTACAGACATTTGAAAGCACAACATTTTCTTGTGCTGAACGAGTTTCATTCAATCTGGAAATAATATCTCTTTATTGTAATTTTAGAATCAAAGAGAAAAGAGAAAATACAGAGATAATATAACCCCGATGTTCTCATCACTCAGAATTAACTGTTAACATTCTGCTAGTGCTGTGATCTGTTAAAAACTTATTATGTGATATTTATGACATAAAAAGGTAAGAGGAAATAACAGTGAACACTCGTACACCTGCATTGCCACTGAGGTGAAGACCCCCGTGTGGGAATGGCGCCTCACCTTTGGATTAGGACCCTTTCTTCACAGGAGCCTGGAGAGACAGGTTACTGTTTCCCTTGTTTCAGTCTTTAAAACCTGTAAATAAGCAAGTTCGCTTCATTATGTGAGTATTTTATCCCGGAGTCTGAGGGAGAAGCCCACTTTGCTGCCTTGCTTTGAGTTTCCTCAGAATTCTGCCTGTGGCTTTGGAGCTCCAGCTGTGTAAATGGGAAACGTGACATCCGTAAAATCGTGATAATTGCTCGCCAGTTGTGCCCCAGACATTGCACCTAGGCAGTTTTTGTGTGTTCTTTTTAAGTTTCACCATCATTTTTCTGGTGAGGTGTTCTCATTGTATAGATTAGGAAGGTGTGGCTCAGAGAAGTTGAGGAACCTGTTCAGAGTTGCACAGCCGTTAAGCTGTGGAGCTAATGATTTCAATCAAGTTCTGCCTATACCCCAGCCTGCTCGTGCTGTAACCATGCTGCCTCTGTCCTTGCCAGTAATCATGATCTGTTTCTTTTGTAGGCAAAACCCAGAGACCACGTTTGAAGTGTATGTCGAAGTGGCCTATCCTCGGACAGTTGGCACTCTTTCAGGTACTTGCATGTTTGATTATGGTATGGTGTGTCTATTTATTGTTTGAGATAGTCATGCACACGGGAATATTCTACACTGTTGTTTATCTGTAAGTATGTGTAAATGTCTTTCCCTTTGATTTGTGCCCACATCATCTTAGGGAATGGAGAATAAGCACAGTGAACAATTCAAATTCAGAGTCACTGCCATAACAGGCTTGAAGTATGGTTGTATTCATTGTAATAATTAGGTTTTGGTTGATATCTTTCAGTTATTTAGGGGGAAATATTGTCATCTTGCTAATGAGGAAGGCTTAGAATTAGGTTTCAAAATACTGTAATATAAGGGATATGTATATTTTATCATACAACATATTAAGGGATATAATAATAAGGGAAGTCTCTGTTACTAAATGGATTTAATTTAGTACATTTTTTGTCTGCTGGTAGAAGGAGGTTGGAAATTAGTTGAAGGAAACACCTCCTTTGGCTTTAGCTTTTGGACTGATTTGGACGAGTATTCCTGAATGACAGGGTCTTAGATAAGTTAGAGTACCTTGTGCTGGCTCAGTATGCCGCTTCTTGACCTAAAATCCTTCTTGGTTAATGAGAAAAATAACTTTATGACCCAGTGTTTTTTCTTGGCGTCTAAGAGAGCGATGCGTTTGCCAAAGACATGTTAGGGAGCAACTCTGGTTCCACACACACAAACAGTTGCATGTATTACCTGGTGTTTAGGGAGAGTGAATTATCCTGGATTACAAACTTGGAGTAATCAGAATTTCAATGGTAGGTGTACCCTTCATTGGCTATACAACCTGGGGCATATTTTCTCTTTCATTATTTAATTAGATGGCAGTGCTCACAAAAATAGCTACCTTTTATTGAGTTTGTGTTCTCCTCCATGCTGGACACATATAATCAATCCTTATAATTCAGCCCTTAAAAGTAGTCGGTGGCTTCTCCATTACCTGTGAGGAAACAGAATCCCAGCGAGTCAGATCACTTACCAAGATCACATCGCCGCTGTGTGGCATAGCCAGGAGTTTTGGTTCAAGTCCTCTTCCCTCGGCTGCGTTACCTTCTTTTTTTTTTTTAAAGATTTTTTTTTATTGGGGAATTGGGGGGATGGGAACAGCGCTGGGGAATTGGGGAAAGGGGAACAGACAAGTTGCTGTCGTTTTGTTCTTCAGTCTAGTTGTGGAGGATGTTGCTTCACTGGCCCAAGTTGGCACCATCATTGCGCTCTTCTCTGGCGAGGCAGATCAGTTGCCGGCTTCTGAACGGCCGCTCACTGCGGCTGCTGGCCGCTCACGCTGGCTGCTGGCCACACACGGTAGCCCATGGCAATCCACTACCACAGGGACTGCAGCCCACGCCGTCGCCGGCGACTCACGGCAGCCCAGCTCCAGGTTGAGCTGTTGTTCAGCATCTTAGCTGTAGAGGGCAGTGTCACTGGCCCTCATATGTGGGATCCGAACCGGGGCCCTCTGGCATCCCAAGCGAGTTCTTAACCATCGTGCCACTCGGCCGGCCCTGCGTTACCTTCTTGAGGACCGTGGGCACGCTGTACACACCTCTCTCTCTGTCATCTGCACGGCTTTGTGCAACATCACCAATGTTTGTTAAAACGAGTGAATTCTCCTCATAGCAAAAGTGAGATAACTGTGTGCGCTCCACTTTCTGGATTATCAATGAAGGCGCGAAACATGTTACAAGTGTGTGGGTGTCCTACAAGTAGTATGTTAACATCCATGCTATGTTATGCCTCTTACTGTGCAAACCCGCAGACGGGGAAGGGTTGCATGGTGCGTACGTGCAGCAGGCCTGTATGGGCTGACCACAGAGTGGCCACTTGATGATGGCTGTGATGGGATAGTCACCTTTAAGGACAACATCCTTTATTTCTACAGTTGCTAATGTTCACCCTTTTAATGTTCTAGGGCTTTTTTCCCCCCCAAAGATAAAAATGAAAATTTTTTTTGGAATATGAACAAAGTTTGAAAGTCCAAATAAGGTGGAAGAATGAACAAAATGAAAAGTCTTTATCTTATTCTCTTATCCCAGTCCTCTAATTCCTCTGTCCTTCCTACAGACAACTCCTTTCTTGTTTAACCCTTCAGTATACTATAAAAAACTTTTTATTTGGGAAATGTTTTAAAAGATAAAAGTTACAATAGTCAAGTGCATATGCCCTTCCTTTAGACCCATTAGTTGTTACTTTATGGCCATATTTGCCTCACCTCTATACGTGTATATACGTATTATTTTTGCTGAACAACTTGAGAATAAGTTGCAGACATTGTGACCCTTTACCCTTAAATTCTTCAGAATAAATCTAAGAATAAAGACATTTTCTTGCATAATTTTATTGAGATAAGAAAATTTAACATTGATATAACATCAGTTGTTCATATTTAAGTTTAATCAGTTGTCCCAATAGTGAGGGCCCCTTACAGCATTTTCCCTTCTGATCCTGAAGTCATTTTGTTTCACATCTATTGAGTTTCTTTCTGTATGGAATTGTTTTGTAGCTTTTCTTTATCTTTTATGACATATTCTTGAAGAATTTAGGGTTGTTGTTTTGTAGAAAGCTCATGGATTTGGGTCTAATTGTATCCTGATGATTAGATTCAGGTTATGGATTTTTGGCAGGAGTGTCTAGAACGTGATACTGTGTATTGTATCAGCAGGCACATGATATCTATCCCATTATTTGTGGGAAAAGTACATAAAACTTATATGTACAATTTAAACAGATAATTATTATCTTTTTTTAATTTATTTTTTTTTATTGTTAGTTTCAGGTGTACAGAACAATACAATAGTTACCCTTTTTTCACCCTCACCAGGTAACAACCCCCCTCCCCCCATCTATTG